TAAGGAGTAAAGGAAAAAAATCAGTGCGATAATGAAAGGACAGGTGAAATTAGAGAAGGGGAGAACAGAAAATCTTGGGATGTTCAGAAGAGAGCATTCATCTGGGAAAGCAGTCCTTGGCACAGCGTTTGGCTTAACAAACTATCTTATCTTAGCTTTTTGACATTATTCTTACCAGAAGTATCATAATTACTCAAAATCATAGTTATGGAGTGGCTAGCATGTGTCAGTTACAGAAGTCAGTACTGCATACTCAAGGATGAGGAAAGGATCTCCCCTGTGAATGCACAAGACTCGATCCTCTGCTCCCCAGATTTTTGGTGGTGCCTATCAGCAAATATTTTTGAGCCCAACTGTCCACTGTGTAGATAATAATTATCTACAACCCATATATACATGCATACGTGCTACTTTACTATGTTTAGTGTTTATTATATTTTATGCATTTTAGATAAAACAATCCAAAAATATGAATTAATTTTTTTTCCAGTACCAGGAATTGAACTCAGGACCTTGTGCTTGTGAGGCAGGTGTAGCACCACTGAGCTAAATCCCTGCCTTGAATTAAAAATATTTTCACACATATAGTACAAAATTTAATAATTTAGAGTCTGATTGTAAGTTTAGCTTATTTTGATAATTATAAAATTACACTACACACATGCACACCCTACCAAAAATGCCACATATTTAGGCTTAGATGTGTTATGATACAGTGAAATCCTTACATTAAATACTGTTCCCAGTGTTTTTTTTGTGGCCTTCTCTTTTTAGATCTGATTATATCATCCTTGCTTTTCATAATGTTTATAAATTCATATGGGTTTCACATATTCTCTTTGTTCATTTGGGTCTTTATTATTCATTTTCTAATATAAAGTATATTGAAAATATATAATATATCCAAGGTTGAGAGCTACTGGTAAGGGGCAATGTGATCTTCTGAGATCACTGTCCAATAAAATCCAAGCTATGCTCTAACTGTTAAAGTTCTTGAAGAAGATTATTTATTTTATCCATACTTTGGCCTTTTATTCACTGTTTTATTGTTTAAACAAGTGATCTCCCAAATCCTCTGATCACACAGCTCTAAAAATAAAAATATTTGCAAAAATGTTCTGGAGATGAGCAGTATCATGAGTATATTTTATTTACAATGCATTTAGATGAACTAGTATGGTATTATATATATTTATAAAATATTCACAAAAAATAGCAATTGCTAAAGGACAATATAAGGCACAAACAGAAATGGAATCTCTAGTATTTTGTTTCTACTGCCTATCTTCTCTACACTTTGGTGGTATACACACCACCCTAATTTTGGAAAAGATAGGTAAAAAGTAAACTTATCATTGGACAAAGTGAAATAGAGGAGGACCAATCAGTAACAAGCAAATTAATCTTCCTGCATCACCTCAAACACACATAGGAGTGCATGTATTTTAAGTTTTCAATTTTAAATTTCATTCAATTAAGTTATATTTCCACTATAGATATATTTTCCAATATAGATACACATAGATCAAAATTGTCATTTCCAAAAATGCAACTAATGAAAACAATATGAAGGAGCCATATCTCATATTAAAAGTTAACGTTGTAGGGATATTGCCCCTTATTAAACTTTTTGACATCAAAATTAAATTATTGATATGTAGTTTTCAAAGAAGGGATTTCTTCTGTTAGGTATTTGTGTAAAAGGGAAGAGTGAAGAGTTGGAAAATTCCATTAATTTTTATTTCTATGTCCTATATAAAAAAGTTATTTATTTGTAAAAATTAGGCCTGTCAAGTAATAATGACATTGGTTTATAGTTATAATCATTTGCTATCATTTGATCTTCACAAATAGCCCCATGAGCTAGGGACTGTTAAGTTTTCATTCTACAAATGAGCGAATTGAAACACAAAGGATCAAGTTATCTTTTTCATAAATTCTTAATGATACCTAATTTTGATTATAAAGTTATTTTAGATGTGGGATTTTGTTTCATAAAGCTTGTGTCAAATACTCTTTAATTACTTGAAAACAACTTACTCTGCAGGCAACCTTACTTTCAGATAAAGTGATCTAGGTAATCTGAAACCTCTATTAATTTATCAACTCAGATGCCAAGATACAGGCTATGTCCTCCTCTATTTTTTTTCACATCATATTCTCATTGTATGACCGACTAAGTAGCAAACTTTTTTGTAATAATTCATTAATATTTCTCAGTGGATAATACTAGCATCTGGAGAGAGAATTATCCTGTCAGCAGAGAGTGTATCACATATTGCAACACCTTCAGCCTTCCCCCAACTAAACACCAGTAATTCCTTTTGCCAGTCATAATTTGTGATGCTTTAAAGGTGAAAGTTTCACCAAAATTGAGAATCATTATACTAATGAAAGACCCAAGACCATCAACAAATTGGAAACTCAAATATTGAAGCTAATAAATTTTAACTAATAAATATTTGTTCTGTGGAATGTAACTAAAAACAAAATACACATGGAAATTCACATTTCTCTTGCTGTGGACTTTAGACATCATTTATTTTCAGCTACAATATAATTGATTAATAAATCCCACAATTTAAAAAATGGACTAGAGAGAGTCAGCAACTTAGACAATTTGGCAAACCAGACTAAAATTATTGTCCATCAAATCCTAAAACTTAAATTCTCATGGATTGAGACATGTGAAAATTCGAACAATAAGAAATTTCATTTTTTCCTGATTAAATTGTGAAAATTTAGAACTTCAGTGCTTCATACTGTCTCTATTGGCATGACTGAACTTAAGGAGAAAGTGATAAGGCATTATTATCACATTGTACAATACCTCAAATGAGTGTCTATGCATATACAATAGCTTTTCTGTTTTGTTTTATTTTCTGCTATTAAAAAATGAGAGTTCCATAAGAAAGACACCTCACAATAAATGAAAGACCTGTTTAACCGTGGAAAAGAAACACAACAAAGCCATTATGAGTGATATAGCAAGTGGAAGAAAATGAAAGCTTCTACTAAATAAGACAGATTGTCACAACAACAAAAGCAATAATCAATGTAATCATAGCAATAAAGTAATATTTGTATTTAGTTCCCTCCTAGGAGTTAAAATAATGGGTGTCTTTTCTAAGTTAGCAGTTTTTGATATTGTAAGCAAAATTAACAAAAACAAATAAAAATGTCCAAATGTGTGGCATATTAGTATTACTCAGAGTCACTTCTCTACAGACTTCCTATTTTCAAATTTTCTTAAAGATAATTTTGTTTACATCACTTTTTCTTTACATGACTAAGTCATTCTTTTTACGATTTAATATTCTTTAACAAAGCTTTTAATAGTTGGCTTTACTAAGTCCATAATCAGCTAAAATTGCATTATTTTAGGTTTGCACAGCATTTCTCCATTTCTTGTAGTTATTATAATAGAATCTCCATTTTTTTGGTAGTTCTTTTTATTATTTGTTAGAAAAGCATTTCTTTTGTAAGATATTTTTCTTTTGTGGTACAGATGATTGAATGCAGGGCCTTTGCCCTGAGCTACATGCCCAACCCTTTTTAATTTTTTTATTTTATACAAAGTCTGGTTAAGTTGCTAAATTGCCCAGGCTAGTCTTGAACTTGAAATTCTCTTTTCTCAGCCTTGCAGAGTTCTGGGACCACAGGTGTATACCAGCATGCCCGGCTCCTTTCTAAATTCAAATACAAATGTCATGAAATCCAATAGCTTTTCTTTACCACCAACTTTCTCCATAGAAGTCATATATATAAAGTGCAGCATAGTTAGTACTGACCCAAGTTCAAAGTTACCTCCATTTGCAATTTATTTTTGGTAGAACACTTTTTTCCGGTAATACAGTGAAGTCTCCTCACAAACAACACCTGCTAAATCTGAATGTGGGAAGAGTCTCATTCCAGAATAAAACACAATAGTGTTCAGCCTGATGGGCGTTTCAGAGGACCCAAATGAGATTCCTACTTTACAACCATCCCTGTAACTTGCTTTTGGTTACTTCTGTGATTTCACCATAGACTGTCATCTCAATGACCAGTGCTGCTCGTTCACTAGCACTGTATACATATTTGTTTTTCTTCTCAGTGGTTTTAGCATCTTTCAAGTCATTGAGGAGGCAGATTGTAATACTACTATTTCAAAGTGCAAAATATCAAACTCATATTCAGAGACTAGTAATCTCTCAAATAGGAATTGTTTCATTATTTATTTTTATTCTACAGTAGGAAAAATTTGTCATTGTAGTTGGCCAACTATATGACATTACTTCTACCCTTCAAGCTATCTCTAAAGTGTTTTTCAACTCTGATATGCTTTTATTATAAGATTAATTATATAATTTTATGAATAAATTTTAAAGTGCTTAATTTTTTTTTTGCTTCACAATAGCATTCTTTAAAATAAAAAAAGCATATGGGTCTACCTTTGAAAACTCTCATGCCTTTTCACTAAAAAGAAAATATAATAAAGGAAGAATTGTTTAATCATCTCATACTTGCTTCAAAAATATATTTAATTACTGCATGTATAAAAGTTTTCCTCATTGTAGGCATTAATATTAATCTACCTAAAGTAAAGCAGTTCCTTTTGCCACAGCATAGACTTTAGATTCTATCATACCTATTTTCTGTATGTTTATAGCTGATGGGGGCATGAACTTTCCAATTATACAACATAAATGACTACTTTTAAGTCTGCGGCATCATTCTATGACATGACTTTGTTCTAAATGTACATTTTATAATTTTATCTTAGCATTCTGATGTTTTTTCATCTTCTTTAGTTGCAACCATTTGAATGCTTTCTTTTCAAGAAACTGGACTAAATTTAGAAATTTATGATTTAAAGATGCATTCACTTTTTAAACTTCCTAGCTTCCTTATAAAATTTGATATCTTTGTTGACTGTAGGTTTCATTCCAAGTAAATGATCATCAGTAATTTTGCAACATAGACTACTTTGCCTAATGTCGATTTTTATCTTTTAAAAGGATCCTTTCCGGCCATTGGGGTGGAGACGTTTTGTCCCAGCTTCCTGAGAGCAGGGTTTTTAAATAGCATCCAGGCCCCGCATCCAGTGCCAGGGGGAGGATCTTTGCCCCCCAGGATTCCTTCTGGTAGGTACTTCTAGTGAAGTTTTCTGCTGCCATATAAAACAGAAAAATTATATGATAGACTTTAATGGACTGATAATACAAAAATGAATATTTCTAAAATTTGTTTTTGAAAAGAAATGCAAGTGACTCTTTGTAAGTCAGAAACCACATTTATGATACCTAGTGTAAAATGGCATAAAGGAAGCAGAAAGACTATCTAGAAGACAGGTATCCAATTAACATAATACTGATCTACTGGGCAAATTTGTACCTAAGAACCAGAGATTCAGATCTCTAATTTGTAACTCAAGAATAAAGCAAGGTAGGTTTAAGCTGCTTTTCCACTTGGAATTGGCCAGAAAAGATAATTAAAAACTACGTGTTCTTGACAGAAAGAGTAATTCCATATTTCAGTGAGTTTGTAGAGATTTAATTAAAGTTCCATTTCACTAAAGAGAAATGATTCGAAGAAAAGCCTGAAAGTAGCAAATTTGAAGAAATTTTTGAGAAAGAAAATTAATGTGCAGTACTCGCTAAAACACCAATCTGACCAAAGCCATGAAATAAAACACAGAATATTGAGCATTTTAATTGCAATTTCAAAGTTTAGTGAAACATATTATGAGTTATCAACTCTATGACTATAATCAGAAGTTGTTTTTTTCTGTCATTTAGTAAAATATCCAGCTGCTTTCCTCCATTATACCTGAAGGTACAAACCAAACTTATAGTTTATATGTGACTTAGAAAAATAGAACTAGAATATTGATTCTTAAAGTCTTTTGTCATAATTCTTACATTTTATCATAATAATAATGTTACATATTATGGTAGTACCATCAATATATTCAAGAGGGCTGCTCAGTCAGCAATGTCACTGAGAACATTTGAAAAGAATGGGAAATTCAATAAAAACAAAATCCAAAATTCACATTGCTTGGTTTTCTTAGAATAATTATAGCAACAAACCCTGAGATTATTACGTTATTTTCCTTTTGCGTTTCAATTATTCTTGTCTATTACAAACATAAAAAAATAATCAACTATAAAAATTCTTTGATGTCCTTTGGTTTTATAGTTAAATAATTTAGTGACATGGCTATGGACTTTATGGCCAATAATGCCACTGATGAGTGAGAAAATTATGTGAATTAAAATATTAACAATTTTAATTCTAATGGATGTTCTGCCACATTTTCCTTCCTGGAAATAGAAATATTGAAGTATCAATTGCATAAGAAGTTTTTGCTGTTGTTGTTGCTGCTGCTACTGCTGTTGTTGTTATTGCAAAAGATTGGAAGGGAAAATCCGTATAGGCTGAGCTCTCAAAACTAGCTGTAATATAAAAATGTGCCTTTCATATACATAACTGATTTTTCAGTGAGTGGAATTAAGATGAACAGATGATGTGTAATTTAATAGCTTCACTTTTAATGATAAATCTGGTAAGTTTAGATATATTTGGCAGAAATGATATAATAAAGTTTAGCAGTGATTTTAATTATTCAATATTACTGGTAAAAAATAAAATAAAACAACCCTTGTCATTTAGCCATTGGAAATGATGGAAGGAAGATGATCTTTTTATAACACAAACATAGAAACAACTTTCCAGAGAGGGAACTTAAAGAATATTCTAGTACTCTATTCTTCTAGGCTTCAAGCCAAATTTGCCTCCAGCTTTTATAGGGGGAAAAAATGTTCAGTTTTCATGACTTACATACAAATCAGGCATGACAAAATTGCTTCATAAAAAATTTAGAGATCTAAACCTATTCATGTTCCTTCAAACTGAAATTAACTCAACTCACTTTTCCTAGCTTATATCACTTTGATAAGTGATATTTGTATACTTTGTCACTTTTCAGTAAGGACTGCTACAATTATGTATGTAATTCTCATCCTCTCCTATGAAACTATAATTTATTTCCCAAGAACTTTCCTTTCTGATTTTGTGTAAAGAGGAATGAAATGATAATCATGAGGAGTTTTTATTGTTTCAAATTTTTAACAACCTGAAGCATATTTTCAGCATCTAACATCTGAATGGATCCCCTTCCAGGTTAGAAGATCAATGTGAGGACAGATCCTCCCCTGGCCAACACTGTGACACTTTAAATAGTTGGCTGAAGGTTGATCTGCTCTGGACAGCAATTAATTTACTTTCTACAATTGATTATATGTCACAGTACTTTGAAGGTCTCATAAGACATTTCCAGTGTTATTCAAGGAATTACCAAACCTTCAGAGTGATGAGGCTAATTTAGTTTCCAGTTACTTATCTTAATCAAATTTAAATGAGATGCATGACTATGTCTTGTATAATTTAGTTTCTTTGCTTCATGTCACAGTGTGTTATCCAAAAAGCAATATTTCCACAGTACTTACTTTTACATTGCCTTTGATGATAAGCCAATCACTGAATCATGAGACCCAGAGCCTCAGTCAGTATTTACAATAGTCAATTGTTTATAAATTTCTCATTTCTAGAAAGGTCATAGTATAGAGTTATTATGCATAGTCTCAGATGGAGAAAAACACCAGGAAGTATTAGCTGAAAGTTGAATAGCAAGGAAACAAGCAGTATGTGAGATTTAAAAATAGGTAAGTTCTGAAAATTCAATATTGAGTATCTCCCTTATATTTCCTTTGTGATTATCTTGAAGCTCTTTATTAGAAGGAATGCTTTCTAAAGTACCATGTCTGGTTTACCAGCCTGTGCTTTAAACACTGTGCTACCACACCTATTGTGACATCTTTATCTAAGATTCTCTTCATCATATGACTTGTGCTGGGTTCACAGAACAGGGCAGAGATGGAGTGAGACTCCCTCTCTCTTTACTCTGAGTCAAGTAAGAGGACAAAATATGAACATATGGAGATTTAAAAGCTAGATTTGTATTTACTGAGCATATAATTAATAATGTTTACTATTATTTATTTACCCTTTGGGAAGAGAATTGATGATCCTTAAATTCAAAAAGATGAAGTTTTCATATCCCCACTTTTGTCCCCTGATTAGCCATGTTAGGAAGTGGATTCGCAATCCACTTTTCTATATATTAATAACATGTACAACTAGACCATTTCTATAGCAAAGGACTTACAATTATCAGTCAATATTAAAATGTCTTCACAGTCCATTAACAATGATTATCAATATTCTCCTTTCAATATTTCATATGAAATACTATCTGCTAAGGGGTCAGGGCAAAACTTTGCATATACTATTACCTAACCACACCATTTTTTTTCAAAAGGCATATAGTTTAGATGTTGGAAATAGACCAGGAATGATAAATAAGTTTGAACCTGCAGAAAGTCTAGGATCTGGTCAATATAATATTACAGTATCAGGTTTTGATGCATATAGAGAATTGCAGAAAAGACTAGGTGGCAGATTTTGAAGGAATAAGAGTAAGTTAAAGAAAATTGGCATAAACTCAGTATATCAAGCAAAATCAGCAGTGGAAAAGTTACTGCACTTCAGAAGAATCAAAGTAAACCATTTAATTTTTTCATATTTTCAGGCATCCTAAAAAGTCAGTGGCATTATTTTTGATTCATAATGTGACATTTTAAATCACAACACAACAATTTCTATTGGCTATAGCTCTTCCAGTGATGATTATTCCTTGAATGTTTTTGTAGAAAATACAAATGTTTACCTTGTTTTACTTTTGCCAAATTATTATTATCATTATTATTATTATTATTATTATTATTAAAACTACATACCATCATGCAGTGGGTTAGTTTTTAAGAAATATCTTCAAGATTAAAAAATCCTTTGCTTTCATTAACAGATATTTTAACATTTTGTAGTTCAGGATGTTGCCCGTTAACACAAATGAAGTATACATGAATATGTTTATAGGTACCTAATTTAAACCAAGAGCTAATTATGAAAGGAATTGGAAAAGCTACACTAAATGTGCAAAGTAAAATCATGAATAAATCATTCAAAATATACTGTAATAAAGAGAAATTCCTTCATCTGGATTACTAACTACTGGCTTCTTTATTCTTTAACATTTACATGATTTCAACCCCCAGTGCTGTCCCTACTCAATATCAGCTGCAACCTCTTCTCAGAGAACTAGTCTCTAAAGTTTTTGCAGCTGCAGCTTTAGAAGCGAACCCTGCAGAATGGCAAATATTAAAATAAAAAAAACCTGTGGTGGGACTCTGAGGCAGGTCTGGGCAAGAGACCAAGATTATTGCTATTTCAGGAGTGGGGAAAGGGACAGAGAAGTTAGGGTCACTGATGGAATAATGAACAGAGCACACTCAGGCAGCTGAAGCATGTGGAAGATGGCATCAGAGATTGTAGTTCTAGGCACACAAAACTAAACAGTCCTTTTAAAATATGTGCACTATTGTTAGTGCTACAATAGGGGGTCATTTTTAAACAGCTATTTAGGATATATTCCATAATGCATGCAAAAGAGGCTAAGTCAGCTTTTCATCACTCTGACAAAATACCTGAGAAAATCAATTTAAAGGAGGAAAGTTTCATTGTGGCTAATGGTTTCAGAGGTTGTTGGCCATAGTTACTTGCTTCCATTGCTTTCAGGCTGGCGATATCAAGGCAGAAATATCAAGGCAGAGCGTGGGGTAGAGGAAAGCTGTTCGTCTCATGGCTGCCAGGTAGAAGAGAAAGAGAGCCTGTGCTAGAAGGCTTCCTCATTCTTCCACTTTATTCCAACTAGGGCCCGGGTCTATTGGATGGGAACATACACAAAGTGGAAGCTATAATTCAAAACTTCAAGCATGCAGTTTATACAAGCTTTATTGTAGTTAATGAGTTTAAGGACTCCTGTGGATGGGCAATCATCATCTGGTGGTACAATTCATGGATTCAGATTCCTTACCATTGCACCTACTTTGTTTCTCGGCCAAAATAAGACCATTTGTTATATAAACAACCAACTGAAAACTTGGTTGTCCTTTAACCTCCCTCCCTAATCTCAATTTTGAAAACCAAATAGTTGTACACTCTCTGTCCCAAGAAAATGGAT